AAGCCAATCAACCAAATGCAATATATTCCACTTTCAAGCCAAACAAAACAATCTCTAGATAAATCATAGAGGAATGTCTTCTTGAACAAAGATACTACCAGCAAAACGCCATATGTAATCGGTTGGGATCATATTAGCGAACCTATGTGCCGTGCTAATGATTTTTATAAAGAATCATGACTGAGTTCCATGATCACTGGTTACAACTCGTGAGAAGAAAATATTTTTAAAAAATATCTCTATGATTACAGGCAGGACTTGACCGGAACCAGAATGGACCACGACCGGAATTCAAAATATTAGGGATTGGAGACCCGACTGGAAATTTTCCGGACTTGAAAATTCTAGTCAAGAAACCTGGAAGCACCTATTTTCTTGGACCAAACCGGATTGGTCCGGATCTACTTTTGTACACCCTTACATGCTAATACTTCATGGCATGTAATAATATCATAAAATAAAACAAGCTTTATTATGGGAAGATAACTGGGTTCTTCCTGCCCCTTTTCAAATATGACAACTTTAACTGCTTTTAACCCATAAGTTCGTGTAAGCAAGTTCATTTCCCAAGACATAAATAGGGATACTTATACCTCAAAGTTTGCTTTCCTCTCACATAATAGAATTAATCACCTCTATCCACATTCCATCAAATGATTATTAAGATAAACCTTTTTGAGGTCTGACTCCTAGTGGTAAATTCTCAACTAAACCTGGAGCTAGTCAGCTAGGTAGATTCAAGGACTAGGACCAAGCCCTCCCCTTGTAGAAAATTTGCAATAACGGACTTGCTTGAAAGGAGAGATTAAACTGAAGTCACGTCTCTCTTCATCGTTTTATTTTCTTAGGATTTTTAGCATTGGAGCCTGAGATTAGCAAATTGTTGATTATTTTTATCTTTATATATTGAATGACACTTCATGCGTGCACTCCCACGCGCGCACATACAGTCACACACACACATGTATGTATGTAATGACTATTGAGTTGATATAATGTTTGCTTTATTTTTTTCACTGTTGGATCTGCCCAATTTTTTGGCAACAATGGAAAAAAGAAGTTATAAAGTTGCATCTTCAAAACTCCACTTTTCTAATTGCCCATTTTATTGCTTTTCTAATTCTATATATTAATGGAAAGCAACTAGAGTTTGAAGCACATGTTGCATTGTAGGTGTGAAGCATTTTCTACGTATCCACGCACCTATGATCTACTGCATGCTTGGATGTTGTTTGCAGAGATTTTAGAAAGGGGCTGCAGTGCTGAAGATCTATTGATAGAAATAGATAGAATTTTGAGACCAGAGGGATTTGTCATCATCAGAGACCATCCGTTAGTCATTAATTATTTAAAGAAATATTTAATTGCCTTGCGTTGGGATGGGTGGGTTGTGGAGGTGGAACCAAGGGTGGATATTTTGTCAAGAAATGATGAAAGAGTTCTTATTGCACATAAGAAGCTATGGCGATATGGGGTTACAGTCAGCTGAATGTAGCTCTAAGAAGGTATGTACAAAACCTAAATGCTTGACTATATCATGTTATTCAGAAACTGAGGTGCCAGAAGGTGAAGTATGAACTGAAAAGTACGTATGTTTTCTAAAGTATAGAGAATCAATGGATGATTGAGTCCCTTAAGATAGGCTTCATTGTGTGTGTGTGTGGAATACATGATAAAGGAGCTTTTTCTTGCTTGAAAATGCAATATTAACCAACCCCAGAAATAAATATATAACAAGTTTAGTTATCTAAAAGTCTTGTCGTCACCTCAAATCACTTGAAGTCGCTCTAAATTTCACAAATGTCACCCCAAATCACATGAAGTCGATTTTACAAAAGGGTGACGTGTATGTGTTTTGGGGTGACTGATTATGCTCACATAAACACATCCATTCTATACAAGACCCACTGTTCTATGTTAGGTAGTTGTTGCTTTAAAATTTGCAGTTGTTGCTTGTCAGATTTAAAAGAACGATTTTGCCAAAAATAGAAATACTACGAGTAATTTTGAAAGCAGGTACCAGTCCCCCAATGTTACTCCCTCAATGTAAAAGAAAATGCTAAGTTCATATTTGAGCAAGGATGCTTCAGTTGCACATATTTGTTGGTGAGTTTTAGTTTGCTTCATCAGAGCATTATGGGAGGGGAAAGGAACTAGCCTTGTGTGAATTCATCTAAACTAGATAGCCTTCACTTTTGAGTATCTACCTACGGGTATGTTGATTGAAGACATTGTTTATACGTAATATTTATATAGATATTTTGTTATAATTTTTTTTCAGATTTATTATCATTTGACAGTGTAGTTTTTCCTCACTTGAAGGTGTTGCTATTATTATGAAGCATCTATGGCATTGTCACAAGATTTAAATCGTGGTTAGCAATTTGTGAAGTTACATTCTCACGTTCTGTGGCTGATGAGCTGCAACGATTATATGAGATCTTCTGGGAAAATGCAACTAAAACAAACCGAAGGTTTGTATTTGTTGTTTGGAGTATTCTTTTATGCTTCTCCTTGGCTAAACTGTATATGAAGGCCACGTAATTTTTTGGACCTTGGTATCTTTAGCATCAAAAATACTTCTATTAGTCCTTTAGACGATGTAGACTCCCTCCGACCCAGATTCTGTACTCAATTGTGTCCAAAAGTTTTTTTTTTTTTTCTTCATGTGGATATTTTGACAGTGTAATTTATAGTGACCAAGTTTACTATCAACTTCAATTCCAAACTCTGTTTGTTCTTTTCATACCCTATGTTTATGTCAAATTTTGCTTATTATCACGTCATTTGGTACTCCTTTTTGGCACATTTGCATCAGCGATGATGTCTTTTGCGCAAAAAATTGAATTTAGATGGATTATTTAATGTAATGGTTCTTGTGTGATTTATACAGGAGTGATGATGTCCAATCTCAAATGACATTAAAGAAGTTAGTTGCTTGATTGATCTAGGGATAGAGGAAAACTATCACTAGAGGTTGTTTATGTGATGCATCATAAATAAAAAAAACCCATTTATCGCTAGAGGTGATCTGATCGTTTGGACATCAGCTCTACTTACCCGATTCTGGGTTTCGACGCAGTTGTCTTTGCTACGCATAGGTCTTCATAGTATTGGTAGCATGACCGTTGCATCGTTTGTTGTGTTCTATAAAATGAAGGATAAATAATGGCTATTCTCTAAAATTTTTGGTTAGTGTAATCTTTCACTATACCATGCTGAAATAACTTATATATCTAAGAATAATTGAAATCATTATGTAAGTAATAAGCCAAGAATGATAAGGAACTAGATGAATAATAAGTATGTTATAGTTCACACAAATATCGTGAACATTAATTTTGGGATAAACTTGTTTGATTTTGCTGCCCTATACTCCTCCCCTCTCAATTTTAACTGGATAAACCTTCTATGATTTCCTAGACAATAGGAACGCTTCACATCTAGATTCACATACATTAGGACATACAACTCCTTATCTTCCCATGTTTCTCCTATTAACAGCCTTATTATTCATTCTAACCTTCTAATTTTGTTTGGATCTTTTATCCTAGATGCAATGCATTATTATATAAGGAATTGCATAAAACCTTTGAAATCCAAGATAATGAAAAGTTATAAATGATGAATGTAAATTAAGTAATAAATAAAAACAACAATATACAGTTGAGAAAAATAAAAAATAAAAAAAAAAATAAAAAAAATCTTATTCATGGCGAATCAATGTGGTATAATTGTCCAATTGATAGAACAATGGTAATAGAAGTTGAAAATCTCATGTAAAGGTTGAAATCTAAGGGGAGTTCTAGGGTGATCTATTTGATCATCTATTTGATCACCTTAAGGTAAAGGTGGGCCCATTGTGGTGGCAGCTTCATGACCAAAAAAAAAAAATGGTCCCCTCTACTTTTTCTTTTACCATAAAATCATTTACATGTTAGAAAATCTTTTTGAAAATAGAAATTAATTATTTTTGACAATCAGAAAATTAAAAAAAAAAAAAAATGGAAAAATATTTCTGAAAAAAAACAATCAACGAAACCCCAGCCCCACCACCCACGCCGGCAACCACGAAACCACCAACTAGCCTTCTCCACCCACCGCCAGCGACCGAATCTCTTTCCCAGCCGACCCACCGCCTCCTCTTCCGGCGTCGACCCACCACCGCTCTTTCCCTGCTTTCCGCCATCTCCGGCGATCCCCAAAACCTTCTCTAAAAGCAAAACCCGCCCCACCCTCTCCCACCGCCGGCATGATCGGCTTTTCCCTTACCCCGACAACGCCGGCGACCCATCCTAAACCCTTACTATAACCCGAAAACCCACAACCCTGGAACGGCCTGCGATGGGGAAGGTGCTGTTCATCTCAGGCCTGTGACGGCCTGAGATCGCGACGGCCTGCGATGAACGGCCTGTCGGCAGGGAAGGTGGGGCTGGTCATGGTGGGAATCCGCAATCAGTGGAGGGTGGAGTTGGTTGTGCGGTGGGGATGATGGTGATGGTGGTGGTGTTGGTTTAATTGTGGTGTATAAATTGCCACCCATGATAGCCTAAGGTGATCAAAACTTATTTAATCACCTTAGAATTTTCAAAATTCTAATCTAAATAATTATATGTGGTGTCATGTTATCATCCATGTCACACCATGAACATCATCATGACACAAGAGTACAAGAGTGACACATGTCGCCTTTTTTAGTTGATACACATTGGCTTTTGTACTATTCACAAATTATACTTCAACTAGCTTTTATAATTTAGAGCTATTATAAAACATACTCATGTGGTACTTGTTTGAATCACCTTAATGTAAATTTCATTAATATTACTTTTTAAAATATAACAAAGTTGATAATTAGATATATTAAACGTTAAAATTATACTATGGCAAGCGTAATAAAAAAAACGTATCAATTAAAAAAAAAAAGCAGTATTTATTTCTGTAACTTTCTTTTTCTTTATCTTTCCATGAAAAATGAGGACCTTTAGATTTTTTTAGTGTACTATCCTTGAAATAGGTGACCTTTACACCCATGTATCTTTCTGATTAAAAAAAACATTCCTTCTAATAGTTCTAAGCTCACATTACATGTATAGGACTAAGGAAATGGACCCGTCAATGACCGGTTTTAAAATAAAACTTAAAAAGATCAAGCTTTTTCCCCCCAAGTCATGATACTTATTCACTAGGTATTTTTATTTACAGTGACAAGGAATTTACAACTCCCAAGCCGAGTTCACCCAAATCAGAAACCATACAAGATCACCATAAATTTGAATCAAGTAAATTAAAGAAATGAAAGAATTTTAACCAGTAATGAACAAATGACCACAATATTCACACACAATGAAGACATTAGTAGAGCTTGATCCTTGTTTGTATTGAGCTGCGACAGATCGGACAATTCAAAAGATCTTGCCCACATTCAGCGCATGTCTGCCAATAACATGCATAAAATCAATCACATTCACAATCACACAACAAAAGCAGATATTCATAAAACATGAGAAGGGAATCATTTATAAAAGTTCATGTTCAGAATCTACCTGGTGTCCACAGCCAAAAGCCATGTCCTTGTTATTAGTAAAGCAAATAGGGCACAACTGTTCAAGAGCATCCGAAAACAATGGTTAACCCATTGATTAATCAAAACATGAAAGTAATTCTTAAGACAGCACAACTGAAGGGCCTAATTTGGTAATCAATTAGCCAGCCAATTCTGATACCTCAGATGAGTTAATATTCAATAAAAGAGACTATCGACTTACGCAAGATTTGTCAACAATAATAATAGTTGTGCAAGAGAAGAGGAAAGGCAAGGAATTGAGTTTAACAAAAAGAAAATTAGAATAGCATACATACATTGATAGAAATGAGATGCTAAGAAATCATACTAGACAGTTGATAGTCTTAGTCAAGAGAAAAAATTCACCAGGGAGAAAGGTAGATGATGTAATAGTATATTTAAGAATGACGTTAAAAATGTCATGAACCACGGAAAGAAAGATACTGGTAGTGTCATGCATATCTAATAATAAGTACTGAACAAAGTGTAAGCAGGCAATATTCAAACAGTAAATACCAGATTGTCATATGCAGAGCTCGCAGCAGGTGGGCTTGTATCGTAGGAAGAATTAGGAGCAGGTGGAGCTGTACCAACATGGCTAGGGGTGTCGTAATAGGCAGGTGCACTTGATTGAAAGCTTGTCAAAGGAGAAGGTTTTTGATAGTTGAAAGATGATGCATTGCCAAATGATCGTGCATTCTGCAAAGGTGGAGGTAGAGGGACTCTTTCTGGAGATGCTCCTCTACGCCTACTGCATTAATATCAAAAATAACAATCAATATTACAGTTTCATACTTTCAGTAGTGCCCATAATTAGAAATTAAGGAGAGTAGTTACCCCAATAGATTAAGCTCCATTGTTGCTTTATACTGAGAAGGAATCTCCATCAGTGCTGATAGAGCAAATTCTGTTTCCTTTCGAGTTTGATGGGTATTCTTTGCCATTATTTCAGTGAAATTCACAAACTGAGAGATTACAGAAAAATATTTACAACATGGTACCGAAAAGTTCTCAAGAATTCCAAAATCTTTCATAAATAGAAAAGAAAACTGAGGATACTAAGGCAGTCACCTGAAAGTTATCAAAATCCCTTGCAGGTATGTTATCATCAAATTCTTTCATCATGTCCCAAGGTCCGTCCCCCACCCCAACAACAACAATTGAAAGAGGATATTTGCTGTCATAATCACCATAACAATCATTAGAAAAACATAACTTGAAAAATTGACAAAGAAACAGGAGAAGAAAATTAAAACTAGAGATGGAGAGATAGTTTAAAATTTAACCTTGCTTTCACAATCGCATCAACTGTCTTCTGCTCCTGCGGACTTAGTCTACCACGCTCCATATCAATACTCCTAGTAACCTACAGAAACAAACCTCTTATCTATAGCTTCAAATTAAAAATCAAACTAATCTTCCAGTTTTTATTTAATAATTCCATAATTTTATTCACAAAAACACAATATTATTTCGATATGCAGGCAACATACGTTGCCCACAGAGAATAAGAGCATCAAAGGTTTCTGCTTATTGATCAAATTAACCAGGCCATGAATGCATCAACACATCTCTTTCATGAGGACTTGATATGATGTTTAACAAATAGAGATGATACACAAAATGACATTATAAGTTTTTTTATGGTGACAGTGCCACTTAGTTTTATATGTAAGCTTAGGACTGAAAAGGTAGTAGTAAAAATTTTCATTAGCAACATATTTAACCCCACAAGCCACGACAGCTTCAGAATCAGTTTATATAAGAATATACTGCTCTCCAGTCAAATTAATCCCACTTTTTAGACATAGTTGTAAGCCATATCTGATTCACCAACTTAGTTTCCTACAGAAACTTTATAAATAGCCCCTAGCGAAGAAAAGTATTGTGTTCTCCCATTGCAATAAGTAAGTTCCTTCAGGTTTTGGGACAAATATCAAATATATTACACTCAAAACAGATTGTTAGATTTCAGTTTGGTAATTGAGAATATGAAAAACTAAAGAAAATGAAAGAGAATTATCAAGTAACATGGGACATTACCACACTCAAGTGCACCTAAAGCCTAACACACATGCTCCTCCTTGTCAATAACTTCTTAAACTTAGGCTAGATATGACCCAAATCAAGAAATTTGTGAAGTCATGTGGTTGTGAGTAATGGAAACTGGAGAGTAGAAGCCTACAGTGTCAAACCTTCCAAATCTATCTTGATCATGCTAGGTCATATTGCATTACGGCCCTAGGGGAGATGAATTGGGTACCATATACCAAGAGCAATGCAAGTTCATTTGTCAACATAACATTTCAGCTCATTAATAATCAAATAGCTACTACAGATCTTATAGTGCAAAAAACAGAAGCTCAAAAGCATTGATCAACTCACACTTCAAATTAAAAAGCGAGCAAATACCTGCCCATCTGCAATTATCAATAAAACATGGTATTGTCCTCCACTCTGCTCAACAATTGTCATGGCCATCTCAATTACAGGAGCAAACGACGTAGGTCCTGCCACATCAAGAGATAAGGAACCATTAAATTTATCATAAAAATGTAACCAAAAAAAAAAAGTAAAGGGAGCCCATATAACAGAAATGCAAGGAGCGTGAGACAGGAACAACATCAAATTAAATAATAAACCTGCAAGTCGTAAATGAGGAACAATTTCTCTGTACCGGGATAAGACTTCCTCAAATCCATTACAAGCTCTATCATCCGAGTAGAAACTAAAGACATCTTGATCGTGTGTTGATGCTGTCAAATCATGATGCACTTTGTTGATTAAAAAAACAAGGAACTTAAGACCATAACTCAAGATGGCACAAGAAAGGAAACAACAAAATTAAATAACTGCAAATACCATCTCCAAATCCATAACATGGAATTAAATTATCATCATCGAAAGCAGCCAGTGTCTTTCCTATTATAGATATTGCTTGTTCATAAGGATTTAGTCCACTGCCAGTATGATGCAAACTTTGGTTGTTGAATGACCTTTTACCTGATAGTGAGTCACAGTTAAAAATGTAAGAAAAAGAGAAAATAAACCTATGACGATTTTTCAGGAAGCAAGCAACACTGTTGAATCAAGATATACCTGTCCACTCATTGCTTTTTGTAAAATCAATACCCACAATGAGATTAGAGGACTCAAGGCCAGCACGAGCCAATGCTTGAGTCACCTGCAATTGATTACAACAACAACAACAACAATGCCTTAGTCCAAAAATGACTGCAATTGATTAATTAATAAAGCAAAAACACAACTCAATTGGATCTCTTCTCTAAAGGATCCATAAAACATGTTAACTACAGGAGAAAATCAACCATTTTAATGGCAACTTACAGCACTACACTCACAGGCTGGTCTTCAGTTATAACAGCTAATGCGATATACGTAGTTCAAATATAAAACAAGCAACTTCTTTGGACTCAAATTTTTAGTAATGGTATCTATTGAATTTTCTACAGCTCTGAGAGAGAGAGAGAACAAACGACCATGATAATAAAATGTCCACAAACTAAGAATAATAACCTTTAGTAGGTTCATCCTTCATAAGGTCTCTTCTCTTGCTCTCCCCACTTCCCATTCCTCATTTTATATCCACTCTATATAGAATGCCAAATATTTCAATTATCAAAAGTACAAGGATGTAGTTTGCAAATTAGGTATTTTGTAGTATATGCTAATAGTTCAATCAAATCCTTAGTTTTGTTTTTTTTATAAGTCATAATGCTTTGTCAATAAAAATTTGAAATATGTTTTTCCTTAGTACTTTCAACCCCTTATAGTACATTTCCCTTACTAATTTTAACAAGTACAAGGATGTAGTTTGCAAACTAGGTATTTTGTAGTACATGTAGTTCAAACAAATCCTTAGTTTTGTTTGTTTTTTTAAAAGTCATTATGCTTTGTCATTACAAATTTGAAATATGTTTTTCCTTAGTACTTTCAACCCGTTATAGTACATTTCCCTTACTAATTTTAACAATGACAATGTGCCGAATAGCCATTGCTCAAGTGTCAACCACAAATTAAGTAATCCTACTTAAGACTCCATTTGATTCAACTTATTTTGTCTGAAATTATCTTTCGTGAACTTATTTTATTTGAACTTATTTGTCTATAAAAAAAAAAAAAAGTTATTTTGTTTAAAATATTTAACAAAAACATATCTAGTCTAAGCTTATCTGAACTTATCTTAATATATTTGATTGCAATAAGTCAATAATAAAATAAGTTGAAATGGACATGGGCTAGGTGGTATAGATTAATAATTAGGGATGTTAAAGGGTCGAAACTACTCATAGACTACTTAATTCTGCACAAGGATTCAACTCGAGTTCGGGTGTGGTTCGATATTTTCACAAGACAAGAGATATCCTTAGCTTGGCTCGAAAGCTCATATATAGGCTCAATTTTTATAATAGTAATGACTTTTATTAAAAAGTTTATAACATAAGATATTCTGCTCACACTTGGGCCTTGGGACTAAAATGAACCGGCAAATTTTAAAACAATTCATATTGTCAAGTCTCGGCATCATCATTTGTAATAGTAAGAATTCCTTTACTTGTTTCCACTAACAAAAAATTCTTTACTTCACACTTCCTCTAATTGACAATATTTACAAGATTTCAAGATCAAGCTCTCAACATTAAGACAAAAGCCCCTTAAAGCGACCAGATATCCAGGGAGGAACCTGTACAGCTATCTAACTCCAAAACCAACCACCACTTCAAGCCTTCGACACTAGTTCACAACTCATGCATTATTGGCCCGATTGTGCAGTGGCATTTATTAATATTCGGCAACTTTGAGGGGGTAACTTATAAAAGCAACTATACATCTCAAATAATCAATCCACGCCAACCCAAACAATTATCATACCCCCAATTTCTCTATACTCCGGCCATTGTTGAAGATTTTGGAGTCAAATCATTGCTCTTGCTTTGGCAACGCACTTCAATGATGATCAAGAAATTTTCTAAGAGAAAATAGTGAATGATACATTATATTATACTAAAAATAGTGGCATTATTGTTGTTGTTGGGGTAACTGTGAAGCTTATTTTCATCAAAATTTGTTTTTTTGTGCAATTGAGCTAAAAACAATACTTATTTGCATTGACCATGTCAATCAATGAAGAAGATGAAAAGAACAATAATGAAGATAATTAACAACGAAAAAGAAGAAAAAACTGCTAAGAGAAAAAATTGCATAAAATCATAATTTGAATTTAAAATTGAAGATTGCTATCATGCAAAAATAATAAATTGAGTTTGAAATTGAAAGAGGACAGAATATGAGTCTTATGAATTTCAAATAAGAGATAGGTATAATGAGTCTTATGAATTTATAGAGTGGACGAGGGGAGAAAAATTGGGTCGTATTATGTTATAAAAATAAAAGTAAAAGGTACAGAGAGCAAATTCACTCATTTTTAGCAACTTTATGCAAATGAGCAAATTATTTTATGCTCAATTAGAGCAAATATGACAACTAAAGCACAACTGATTTTATGATTATAATTGCCCTAGTTCCAAGTGTAGTGGACATAGCAAGTATTTATTTTTTGTTACTTTATTTTCAGCAAATTTTAAATTGTAAATCATGCTAATATAAACTATGAAAGACCAGGAAAAAAGGGAAATTTTAATAAGAACACGTTAAGACTAGATACAACATTTGATGATCGAGCCTTGAATCGAATTGAGCTCACGTTTAGGAGTTTCGAGCTCAAGCTGTGTAATAAGCCTCGCTGGGTCTCGGCTTCACTTGTTGAACCCCAAGGCTAATCCAATGGTTTCCTCTAGTATTTTTTTTCCTCCTTTATAAGTGATGATAAATAAAAAAACATAAAAAAATAATTAAAATGAAAACTACATACTATTCCCTCAATTCAAAGGCACCATTAGGCTATTACCAACAAATAAAAGACATATAGATTGACCAATTATGATAGTAGAAACATGACCTAGCTACTATTAGTCCCCTCTTTCTCTCTCACCTCTATACTAAGTTGAGAAGATTAAGGGAGGGGAAAGGTAATTGCTTGTCCATAAATAGAGCAACTATAGAGATTGCTTAGCTGAAATGTGAAGGAAATAAAGAGATAAGAAGTAGTAGTAATGGTTGTTATGGTGATAGTAATAGAGTGGTTTTTCAATTATTGGCTTCTAAATAAGTTTTTCCTCATTAGGCAGTAACAACAATGAATGGATTAATGAGAAAAAAGAGGATGCTAAGGAAAATTTATTATGATGGTTAGTGCTTGAGAATAAAGTAACCTAAACACTTAATAAAAGGGTACCAAGAAAGAAAACAATTTTTTTTAAAAAATCTGACTTAGCTCATCTGGTGTCTTAGATTCAAAGGTATGAAAGGATCAGATTCAAGCATGGGTTATTGAGTTCGGAGGTGATCTCAATGTCCATTTATCAATTGATCAGATTCAGATCGTGTAAAGTCTGACCTAAGCCTGACATATTGCCATTCCTATACTACCATGTCTAAACCCATAGTCTCCAAAAAGCTATAATGTTGCACTATTCTATTAAACACACCACAACAGCCAAAAAATGGGTGATCAATAAGTTCTAAAATCAAGACCTACATCGCTGACGGTTTATAACACTACAAAACTTGCTTTAGCCTATTGCAGGGACAACAGTGATTCCATTCTGCCCATGAATCCAAGCCACGGTGATCCTTAGTGATTACTTTATCACAGAGGGACAACAAAATGACATAAGGCAATGATGCCACCAATCAGGAAGCCAATATTCGAAGCAAGCTGCCTGATTACAGTCGCCAAAGTTCATTCGAAAAGCATTAACCTACCCTAAATAATACACACAAACCCTAGCTAATTACTCTGATCTTACTGTGCACCCTTTTGACTGAATACCCTATTTAAAACTCTTATTTCACAAGCACCAAATAATAACTCCCATGACTAAGCAATTGGACCTCTAACAAGCAAACAGAATAAGAACCTATTAACACTATTTTTACCGAAATTAAATTATTTTTACTAAGCTTAAATTAATTTTTATGAATATAAATTATTACCAACTAAAACTTATTTTAACTAATTTTTATAGATTAAAACTTATTGCGAAGAGAACAGGCCTAATACTATTTCAATAAAAACCAAAATAAAGTACACTATGACTTCAAAACCATTGGCCATTAAAATATATACAAATACAATACATACTTTACACAAGTATATATTTGCAAAAAAATGAATCTTTGGGAAAAGGGAGTTACAGCAATACCTCATCTAATGATTTGTACTCATCAGCAATCCTAGAGTACATCCTCTCAAACCTCTTTTTATGTTCATGGGTCGGACCAGCACCACCATAGCTCGACGACGAAGTCGAAGTCGGCGCAGCCGCTGGTGGGTAAGGTTGTTGGGTATTATAGTGTTGAAATTGACTCTCAGGAGGTGCATAATATGGTGCTGAATATCCTGCTGGTTGATTCTCATACTGATTCCATTGGGTTGATGAAGATGTTGACCTCCAATATTCGGACTTTGAACTATTTCCACCCATTTTACTCAAAATTACCACTGATAATGTCAAAAAAATTGATTAGCAACAATTTATAAAAGATGGGTTATTTTGAATTATATCGTTTTCATATAAATCTTGATAAATAATTTCTTATCTTTCTATATTAATATCTAAAATTACTTAACAACCAAGATATTTTGATGCATATCTTATTCAACAAGAATATATTAAATATACCAGAATTAGATAAGGATGCAAATTCTAAGAAATACCCAAAATAATGACCAAAAAAGTAAATTAAAAGGCGGCTAAAAAAAACAAGACTTCTACAAGCAATTGAAGTCTTCTCATTTACGTTTCAGGATCTTACCCTTTTTTTTTTTTTTTTTTTTTTTTTTTGTAAGGGGAAAAAAAGTCAAAAAAAAAAAAAGTAAAAAAAGGTTGGATTCAAGAAAAAGATGGGTCAAGAAAAACGGAAATAGATTGTGAAAAATATAAATTGCGACATTTTAAAGATCTGGGAAATTTCTTCAAAAAAAAATCTGGGAAATTTCATCAGTGTAAATTTGGTAGTAATTGACGGTTACCAAAATAAATATAAAAATTGACTGAAAATATGAAAATAATTGTAGTTAACGATTAGGAGAATTGTTGAGAGGGAAGAAGACGAACCTTGTCAAATTGAACCTTTTTGGTGGCGGTTGAGGTGGAGGAGACGGAGAAGCCTGGGTCTGACTTGACAAAAGGAGTAAAGGTCGAAGACCAAAGAAATAAATAAAGAGTATATACTAAAAGTAAAAGGTGGTAAAAAATTAAAGAAAAAAAATTAAAAAGGTGACAAAAATTTTAAAAGGGTGACAAAACTCACAAAAGTGACAATTGTTTTAGATGAGAAAGGGGAAAAAGAATTACTACGTACGTAAGTTAGAATTTGCGGGAAAGTGTTTAAGCTTTTTCTCTTAAAATAAAATTATTTGCTTGAGGTTTACTGGTAGACTTTTAAGACTTTTGAGTTATATTTAGGGGTGGGACTTCAGTCTGGCAGTTCGGTTTGACCTCAGTTTGAAACGGTTTTGGTTTGAAACGGTTCGGGTTAAAACGGTTTCATTTAGACGGCGGGTCGGTTCAGTTCGGTTTTGATTAGTCACAGGTCGGTTCAGTTTCGGTTTATTTTTGTACGATTTAAATTCGGTTCGGGTCATAAACGGTTCGGTTTATAAACAGTTCGGGTCATAATCAGATCGGTTAGAAACGGGTTGCTTCAGGGGCGGATTTACTCGGGTCAATGCCGGTTCGGTTTTTAAACGGTTCGGTTAATAATCGGGTCGGTTTGAAACAGGTCGGTTCAGGGGCGGGTTTACCCGGGTCAATGCCCGTTCGGTTTATAAACGGTTCGGGTCATGATCTGACCGGTTTGAAACGGATCGATTCAGGGGCGGTTTTACCGGGTCAACGTCGGTCCGGGTTCATATCGGTTCGGGTCATGAACGGATTATTTTAAAATGGGTCGGTTCAGGGGCGGGTTTACCCGGGTTAATGCTAGTTCGATTCATATCGGTTCGGTTTATACTCGGTTTGGTGCTAAAATCGTTCGGGTTAGTTTGGTAATCGATTAAATTGGATCGGGTTGAAATCGAGTTCTAAAAAGTGGTTTTGACCAGTTAGCGCGTTTTGTTTTATATCAAGTTGGGACTAGTATTTCCATTTCATTAGCGGGTCGGCATAGGTTGGTGAAAAAAAATAATGGATCGAGTAGAAATTGGGTTTTAAGAGATTTTTGACCGGTTAGCTATTTTCGTTTTATATAAAGTTGGGACTTCGTCACTTTATTTTCAGACATCGGATTATATACAATTACACAAATCTTCATTTATTCAATTATTCTATATCATGTTAATATGTTATGTTTCAAGTTTGGTTATACTCTTGTTGTTGTTTATTCGATATTATCATATTAGTCTATTACAAATTTATAATGTATTAATGTATTATTGTTTCATTATTAAATATATATTATTAGGTTATCAGCTTCTTGTTGGATTGTTTTAGATATCGTGCCATGACCATGTTTTGATGAGTTGCTACTTTGAATACGATAAATCGATCCAGATATCAGATTATATAGAATTACAAAAATTCTCATTCATTCTATATCATGTTAATGTGTTATGTTTCAAATTTGGTTATAGTCTTGTTGTTGTTTATTAAATATTAGTCTATTACAAATTTATAAGGTATTAATGTATTATTGTTTCATTATCAAATATTATCAGGCTATCAGCTTCTTGTTTTAAAGATCGCGTCATAACCATGATTTGATGAATTGGTACTTTGAATACGATAAATCGATAATTGATATTGTAATAAACTAATAATTTAATGTTACGGAACTATATTTGGATGTTTAATTAAAATCACGATTATTCAATTTCCCATTAGTCTAATAAAGTAATAATTGACAATTGTTTGTAACTATTCCATAATTTTGGTGTTAAAGTTATATTGCTGAATTACTTTGTTGTCTTACCCTCTCTAATCACCTTTTAAGATTACGTGCCTACAAGGCTGCAACATATATATGTTGCAACTTGCAAGTTAAAGAAAACGGGTGGGGAAGTAGAAGTATTCAATTAGATCGATCATCAACTGTTTTAAGTTTTAATAATCAGATACATTTATCGATTATCTATACATACCAATGATAGTATGATACCAATCGTACCATACATTATTATTTATTACATATACTGATATACATATAACTAATATACATTAAATATGTCATATTGAATCAATTCCAATTTCCAAACATTTGTGTTTCTTACAATTTATAAGTTACATAAAGTTAAGAGTACAGTAGTGTTTTTATTAGTACGTAGCTATGAATAAAAAAAAAACATATTATCCAAATCCATTATCCCACGATCCGTGTCACCGTCTTATATTAAATATCAGCCATTGATTTGCATGTCATCTAACGACCTATCATCGCACACATTCCAATTCACGATCCGTGTGTTTTCTTTTCCACCAATCAGATCACTCTTACCATCGTCTCTTTAGTACTCTTTTTGATTTCTCTCTCGTTTTCTTAATCCTCTTCTGTAATATTATCAATTTTTTGAAGCCATGGCTGCTAATATGCTCACTGCTCTCTCGTTTTCTCTCTCATCTTCTCTTCCTTCTTCCTTTCTTCTTCTTCCTTCTTCTCCCTTCTTCCGTCTATGTTCTCCTTTCTTCCATCTCGTTTCTCCGTCTCCGTCCACCGGCACCACGCACGACGGTTTTTATGGTCAAATTCGACCACGAAGCTCTAGATCTAGTTGTTTCATGATCGAATTTGGCCTTTTAAAACCAAATTCGAGGCCAAATTCAGGATTAATATATAAGGTGTTTTCGTTCTTCCTTTTTTATTTTCTGTTTTTATTTTTAATTTTTTTTCAAGTTGTGGGCAACGGAGGGGGCCGAGTTAGGGTGGGTGCGGCGGCGGTTAGACTGGGTTCGGGTGGGTGGGGAGGGAGGATTTTTCGAGGGAGGGAGGGAGTTTTATGGTGGGTGAGCAATTAGAGTGAGTTGGGGGGTTTCGAGGATGTTGGGTTTCGTGGGGTGGGTGGGGTGGGGTTACGGTGGGTTTGGGTTTTTTTTCGATTTTTTTGTATGGGGTGGGGTGGGGTGTGTTACGGTGACGGTGGTGGGTGTGGTTGGGGTTGGGTCTGTTTTTTTTTTTTTTTTTTTTTTTTTTTTTTTTTTTTTTTTACAGTGACGGTGGTGGGTGGGGTGGGGTGGGGTTTGTTAAGGGGGTGGGGTGGAGTACGTTACGGTGACGGTGGTGGATGGGGTGGGGTAAGGTTTGGGTCTGGGTTTTTTTATTTACGGTGGGTGGTGGGGTGGGGTGGGGTGGGGTGGGGTAATTATGGTGGGTGTGGGGGTGGTGTTAGGGTGGGTCTGGGTTGACGTTGGTGGGGTGGGGGTGGGTTACGGTAACGGTGGTGGGGTGGGGGTGGGTTACGGTAACGGTGGTGGGTGGGGGGTAGTGTTAGGGTGGGTCTGGGGTGACGGCGGGGGTGGTGTTAGGGTGGGTTACGGTGGTGGGTGGGTGGAGGGTGGTTGGATTGGGTGGGTGGCCAAATTTTTTCATTTTTTTATTTAATTTATAACTCCTAATTTAGTTATACAAGAATATAATTTTAATTTTATAATAGCAAAAAAAATTACAAATTTAAATCAATAATTATATGTAAAAAAAATTGTACTGTTAAATGACATTAAACATCAAATATATTTCGTGGAATTCTAACAAATTGTTAAAGGCTGTAAATAGTTCAATTTGAATGGAACGGGTTGTAAACGGTTCGGTTTAAATAGTTTGTAATCGGATCGGTTTAAACGGGTTGCGGTTTGAAAATAGTTCGGTTTAAACGGTTTAATGGGTTATAACAGTTCGGTTTAAACGGTTAGCGGGTTGTAAATGGTTCGATTTAAACGGTTTTTTCCTACGGTTTAAACGGTTTCGGTTTATAAACGGTTCGGTTTAATTAGTTAGCGGGTTAACATTAATCGGTTCAAACGGTTTCGGTTTATAAACGGTTTGGTTTGTTATTGGTTTACGGTTCGTAACGGGTTAACATTAATTGGTTCGGTTCGGTTTCGGTTTGACATTATACGGTTCAGTTCGATTTTCGGTTTAAAATTAGCGGGTTATAAACGGTTCGGTCCGTGATGGTTCGGTTCGGTAACGGACGGTTTTACGGTTCGGTTTGAAAAGTCTCACCCCTAGTTATATTCTACCACTTGGCTTTTAAATTAGTTGGTGGAAGAGGTATTTTAGGCCATGTGGATCGCATGTCAAATTTTAATTCGAAACCGTTTAACTACTTGAAACCAACCGATCAAAATGAGAATCGAACCGAACCGATTAAAAATCGATTTTTTGAAACCGAAAATCAACCTGCACCATATTTTAGTAAACTCGAAACCGAATTGATCTGAATAATATTAATCGTATAAGAATTGAACCCGTTAATGAACCGAATTGAAATAAAACTGAACTAAAATAAAACCGAACCGAATCGTTAATAACCCAAAACCGTTTCCAACCCGAAATCGTTTGAACATGGTTTAAAACCATTACATCGAACCATTAACAAACCGCAACTTGTTTACCACTTACAAACCGAACCATTTATGAACCAAACCGCTTACAAACCGTACTGTTTATGAACCGCTTACTATAAAGGGAAGATTAAAATCAGGTTAAAAGAAATTTTAAATGAAATCTAATTATGCACACATGTTTACTATGGAGTACATTATTGTTTTCCCTGACTTTTATATGTAATTATGGATTAAGCAAAAATAATCTTCGTCTTCTCTTTAAACGACATCATCAAAGTGCTTCATATTTTATTCACAATTATATTGTACCAAAACTGGCCTAGTCAAATTCTTATGATGTATTATTGTGATTCTCGAAATTTTTAGAATGAAATGATTGCACCTTTGATCTTTCAAAAATAAATTAAAGTCAATACAAAAATAATTTTATAATCTACTTCGTAATAAACTAGCAAGATAAATATGACTAAACTTGAAACATAACATGATATGTATATATAGAACCAATGAGGATTTGTATATAATATGATGTCTATAAATGAAGTGATGAAGTTCCGACTTGATATAAAATGAAACTTGCTAACTAATAAAAGCTAAAATTTCAAAACCGTAACCGTTTAACTGTCCGAAAACGACCAACCCAAATCAGAACCAAACCGATTAAAAACCTATTTTTTTTAACCAAAAATC